AGACTCCGTGGTTCCCGAGATATTAACTTACCCGTGAAAAACTTTCACGAGGCCGTACGCGTTACCTGCGGGTACTGGGAAGCTGAATTTGAATTTGCGGGGTCACACGTGGGTGGGGGAGGTTCCCCAAAATCTTCAGCTTCCTAGCTTTTGTGGTTCCCGAATTGAAAGTTGCGGACAAGTTGCTGCGGACACACACACACACACAAACACACACACAGACAACCCTGTGACAATGTGCGTTTTGTAACGCTGTTACACAAGCGCATAAAAATATGGAGAACATGTTAACATTTGTCATGTTCACACCAGACTGGCAATGAAACAAACCCAGTTTTAGTGGTGACCACGATAGCGCGTATCCTTCGGCTTGATGTCCCACAAACGAAAACAGTGGTCGTTCTTTGGGACGTTTCACGACGCGATCACGCCCCTCCATGGCACTTATTTCTTGTAGAGCAGGTGTAAGATTCCACAGTGTAACTTTCCCCTGGTTACTGAATGCAGCACATACTTTGCTCTGGCCAAGCATTGTTGTCTGCAGTGAGAGCTTCATTAAAATTTCCTTTCACTCATCCTTCTAACAAATTAGTTACATGTCCTTTTAATACATGGCTGGTAGGAGGCTGTACTGACGATTCCCACTACTAACCGCATGCACAGTCCGGTCTGTGTTTACAGCTAAGGGATGAAACACTGAGACTGCATCGTAAAATATCATCCCACTACATCTAAAGGACAAAGGCGGTCTGCGCTATAAAATAACACCATACACATGGCCTGCGTACAATCCTGTTGGCCTATTATTTCATTAAATTTTGCAAGTAAACGTGAATTAACTTGTATAACATAGGTAGGCTGGCGGACGCAGAGCTACTTTCTCACTGAACGTCAAGGATTCCAGTTGATCAGTGAAACAACCAATTTCTTTGATGATTCGTTCATTCGTTTCGATGGTAAATTGGTACTAAGTGGCATTCCAAGAAGTCAAAACTGCTATCACCTTGCTTCTGGATAACCGTAATAAATGGCAACGTGCACCAGACTAGTCGGTGCGGTCATGCGTTTCGTGCAATTCGACTCATCGAACGATTGCCATAATGATTTTTACTTCCTTGTACTTTAGTCTATGCAAAAATAGTTCAAACATTGAAAAACAGTTAAGAAAATGATTTTCACTGCTTTGTACTTTAGTCTATGCAAAAATAGTTCAAACATTGAAAAACAGTTAAAGATTTCACTTCCTTGTACTTTAGTCTATGCAAAAATAGTTCAAACATTGAAAAACAGTTAAAAACTTTTCACTGCTTTGTACTTTAGTCTATGCAAAAATAGTTCAAACATTGAAAAATAGTTAAAAATTTCATGCACCAGTTCACTGCTTTGTGCTTTAGTCTATGCAAAAATAGTTCAAACATTGGAAAACAGTTAAAAATTTCAACACTGCTTTGTACTTTAGTCTATGCAAAAATAGTTCAAACATTGGAAAACAGTTAAAAATTTCACATGAAAGCTGAATTCGAAATCTTGAAGAG